TGGGGGGTGGGGGGGGAGGAGTACCTTTCAGAAATTGTAACACCGTGTCCAATCGGATTTCCATTAGTTTTAATACTTGCATATCTATAACTTAAGGGAAACTTGTTCACAATGTCATACCAAAAACCTACAATATCAACAAATGTCTTTAACACGGCTGAAAACTGTGATTCATGTCTGTTTATTACAACATACACTCATTATTTCCGGTAAGGAAAACGTCACTTCCAATCCCTAACAAATGCATCAGTGCCAAGTTCTATGCCTTTAGGTCAAATTGGTTATGAGCTACGCTGACCTATTATATATATAATTTCAGTTACATACATTTACTTGCTTTTACATTTTAACACTTCCTCATCTCACGTGGATTCAAATTCTCAGCAGCGTTTCTGTGTCAATTAAATTAATCGTTTTGACAGACGTAAGTAGGTCTCAGTTAAATTTAAAACAAACCGTTTCAAAAATAGACGAGTTCTTTGGGCCTATTGGTAAAATAATACTACAAATCGCACCTCTTAAATTATGCACAGCGTTCAAAGGCAACTTGGAAATTTTCAATATAAAGAACTTCTGACATCAGACATAGTGATACGGTGCTGTATTGCAATCGGAACAGCGTGTGTGTTTGTGTTTCCGCGCGCGTATCTCGAAAACTGACTGACCGATGTACACGAAAATTTTACAGAAGATGGGAAGTCAGTATGGGACAGGCCTTCCCAAATCTGGTTTGGATCCACATTCGGATTCTCGATCAATTTGAATAATTATATGTAATGGGGAGATAGGGCATTTTCGCGATTTTAGGCACTTTAAGGTTGAGACTCCTCACCACACTACAAAAAAAAAAATCCGGATCGTTGTTCATTCTAGACCTGAGAAGGATTTTCAGAGTTTTTAAAGGTGAAATTTGACGTTATCTAATATAAACACATGCAATTTCGAAAAGGAGCGGCGGGGCGAAGGTATGAAATCTCTCCCATTGCTCTTTTATTTTTGTCGTTGTTAAGCGCAAAAGCACACAATAGGTTATCTGTGATCTGCCCGTCGCGGTTATTAAAAACCGATTTTTACCGTTATAAGACACCGGGCTT